CAAAGCTCAAAACGTTTCCCCCCTCGGTGCCGTCATGGCTTGCCTTTACACCACCTACATCGTTACATACGCTATCATATCGCCGCTACTGGGTCAATACATCGACTCGGTCTACATTAAAACTGGTGGCCGTGACGGAGGAGACATCCATTCTGCAATTCACAATGTTGCAGGTGTGCAATACAGCGTAATGGCTATCATAATATTCACCAGTACCTTCATTCCAAAAGGAGCCTGGCGCATCAACCCCAAGATGCTGTTCAACCAGAACCTCGACGCCGACCTTGAGGTTACTGAAATTGGAGATGGCATCGACCTGAAGAAGAAGAGCCACGAGCGAGAAACTTCGCTCAGCACAAACCCACGAGATAGAGAGTCATGGTGATTTCAGACTCCCACCCTCGTCGCCTATCAATTCTTCCTCTTCTTCTTCTATGCTATATATACCCCTTTTTAAAACGTAACTTTTTGATCTGGTTTCTTTTCTCTCTGATTTAACTCATGTATCGCTCGGTTACTTTGCGTGGTGTTCTGGCAGGATTTCTCTTTCAATAAGTACACAGCTCTTCCATTTACGTTGATGCGAAACAAACACCCTTTTTCCTTTCCCATACCCCGTCTTCCCCCGTCCTCTTCTCTATCTCTCTTACTCTTCCGCGCCCGCCCTCCTTCATCGCAACAACCCCATAAATATCGCGTTGTCTTCTGGCTTGATAATGATGCATATGCAAGTTTTTTATGTCTACCACCTATATAACTAATTAACAAGCAAGGCCTGCAGTGTCTTGGAATACTCAAATATCGCGCTCCAGCCCAACTTCTCCCCACCCCTTATCTTCACCGTTACCGTCAGACGATGCCTTTCCCTTATCTTTCCATTCTCTTAATCTCATTTGATGTGACCGGGCTTGATGCCAATCTGATAAAAAACCCTTCAGCAGTGCTTTCAATATTTTCTTACCCTACTTTTCTTACCTTCTCCGTTCCATGTCGCTCTGTTTGTGTACCACTAAAGGATGGAGTTGAGCGATAAACAGCGAAGAAAGAAACATATCTCGCGAAGAAGCTAGTCGTTTAGTTAGCTGGTTAATATAAAAATCAACTTCAATATCAACATCCTCCGTCCTATGTAGACAGGCAGTTCTCTCTCGTCTTATAGATCCTGGCCCTGATTCATCCGCGATTAGATCAGTTATTTCATTCTCGGTGGCCTCATTTGATAAGTCTTCGTTGATAGGCTGCTACCTCCCACCATCAATGTCGTTCGATAACTTTCGCCAAGGCCAGCTTACTCAGCACTCTCGATCGATGAGTATCACGTGATTTAAGCCTCTGGCAAGACAGGCGGAACAAAGCAAATTATGAGTCTGGATGCGTACTGGAAAGGGAGGTAAATAGGCGTAGAATGGATAGATGATGATGGCTGTCGAGACATACTACGTCTATTTATCTATGCAGGAATGATCTTCGTCGAATATCCTATGCCCATGCTGATATGGAGCAGGCGTCCTCCGTATCGTATAAGGGGAGGGGGCGTACGGTCGCTCGCTTGTAACTGGGTTATCTGCAGTGATGGTCATAACCAACTCTAACCTTCAGAGTCTCCATGCCTTCTGTTCTGGAGTCCAGGTCGCTCCATCTACTAGGCAGTTTACTTTCTGCTATTCCAAGTACCTTTGACGCCGTTCGTTCAAGATGTTCTCCTTTCCAGCCCAGCTCGAGTCTGACCAGCAGACGAGGAACTGGTACCAGGACCTCCTTGACCACCCAGAATGCCAGGACGACCCTGTAAGCAATGCATTCAGCCAATTACTGGAATTTGCATGATTTCTCAAGAGGCTGACCAAGACCTGCAGATAAAAGTGCAACAGGCATACGAGTCTTACAGACAAGCGAGCCTGGCAAGGTCACTTGCATCCATGATACTGGCGGATGGCAAGGCAAAGATCACACCCAGCCCTGCCCTTGTTCAGTACCTGTCGCATGCTGCAGTTACTAGCGGGCCTAAGGAGATTGAGAAGCGCTATAAAGATGACAGTGTCAACTGTATGGTGATTTGGGCTCGTCCAAGCCGAAAGGTCCTCGAACTCTTGCTTGGGTTACAGGACAGGCTTAAAGATGTAGTTGGAACTGGTAGGTGGTACATTTTACGAGTGACTTCGTGCTTATAGTCAGCTAAACATTGAAAAAACTGAATATCCTGGCAGATATGTGGTTTCCAGAGTCTTCTCGGCTACATTTATCAGTCGTTGAGATCTCGCATCGCCATCCAATGGCGCACCTGCGGTCCGTGTTCGACCAAATTGGAAGAACGTTAGTCCAGGAAATGCTGGACCTCCCAGCCTCCCATGCTACGTCTCATTCAAGGGTTGCTCGTCTAGGAAGACCGATGCTTCTGTTTGACGCTGTTGGAGTAGCCATCTCCTTCGTTCCAGCCGGGACAGACACCTACACCTATCACCATTTAAGGAGAGACCTCCATAACATGGCCATTAGCAGTGGAGTCAAGACGGACACATGCTACACTGCCTGCATGGGACATATCACGCTCGGCCGCTTTGTATCCTCGAAGTACTTCGATTCAGACAATGCGGAAATGGCTCAGGAGCGGCTCAGAGTCTGGATGGCTACGATTAAAGATATAAACGAAGAACTAAGGCAAAGCTATGAAGACTGGGAATGGATAGTTGGTGAGGAGAAGGGACTGGAACTCCAGATGGGTATGCTCAAATTCGGGCGGGATACAGAAGCAGCTGAGATAGCTGGACGGAGTTTTGGAGCTGAAGCCACAGCATCCACGACGGCTAATTAACTAGTTAGTTAACTAGCCCCCGCAGCAAAATAGGGGATATCTACCCTGAATACCTGTAGCCGCACATTTAACCCTCGCCCTCCGCCCTAAATTTGACCTTATGCACCCAGAATAGCGAACACGGGAGAGCAAGGCGGCTTGCATAGCTAGGGGTAGCCGCAAGGCTGTGCTTCTCGTAACCCAAACCACTATCGCAAAACTATTTACAGCTGAGCTGCTGCCTTTCCTCTGCCGATAATGGAGAATCGGTTCGCTGTCTCGTTTCTTCCTGTTTAAGATTGATAAAAGTGTTGCGGCATGGACAAGATCGACTGGCGAAATTATCCTGTCGGCCTGCCCTCGTATTCTCCAGCCCTTGATGACGGACGGCTCTGCCAGAAAGAACTAACGTCGACACCAACTTCCTGGCGATCAGAGAAATACCCGGCAGCCTCGAGAGTGCTCGTCCTTGACCATGATCGTGGAGTAGGTATGTTAACAACAAGGACTTGAAACTAGATATTGTTGACATCACCGTTTGACTGAGCCTTGGTTCGCCTGCGGGAATTCCCGAAAGCTTGATTTTCAGCGGCTGATCAACTTCTGCTCTAACCAAAAGGGAAGAAACAACTCTGCGACGACGAGACTCTGCACAAGTTGCTGGTAAGTTATCCCCCGCATCGCACTGCTTGACCGGCCAAATGTTCTATGTATGAACGGCATAATGATTTCCATTGCAGGTCGGACCGCAGCCGCAGATACGATTCATGTAAGTAACCACCTATGGCCCATGGTAGTTAGCTACAACAGACTGATGGTCGCGTTTCTCTCCAGACTCCTTGAATCGACGCCCCACGAGAAGGTACTTCATCGAATACATACAAATGCTGCGGCTGTTAGCGTGATCAAAGCCAATGCGCTGGCCGACGAGAAGACGGAAGCTCATGTCGAGGACGAGGTCGCGGACGAGCTGAACATATCGCTCGACTCTCTACTGAAAGTGCTGGCTCGATATGACTTCCCTCCGTCTGCCTGCTCGCATATACGTGGACAGGAGCAGATTTTTGGATCGAGAGTCGGTCGAGATGACAAGAAGAATAAAGTAACTGCTTTTGGTAGGTATATATTTCTTCTTATATAGAGGTTATCCGGATACTGGCTATGACCCGGTACTGACAGCGACCGGACTTTGGATAGATTTCTGGTATGCGATACGAGCAAGAGCCTACATTCGTGCCGTCGATAAAGAGGCGGATTTGAAGATGACGATAGTGACGCACTACGACGTCAAGTCGCAGTCGAGCGTCATACTGCTGAAACACCGCTCGTTCAACGATCTTCCCAAGGCGCTGAAAGATGAACTTCACGATAAGTTGGTGGATTTTATACTCAATCCCAGTACGGCGGCTCTCGCAGGAAATCCATTTGCTCTCCATCTACTCCATTTTAATAGCACCATCCAGTACTACCGACGGGCTGCCCGAGATCCCAGGGATTCCGTGAGAAAAGAAGAGATCAAGGCCCATGGAGGGAGTTCCGGCCTAGAGGAAATCAATATACAACGACTACACCTGACGCTTACCAGTCTTGACCAGGATAAACTGCAGTTAAATTTCATTCTTGGAGTTCTCGCCCGTTTGCGGAAACAACACGACCAGTTTTACAGGATGGTTAAGGGCGCTCCCGACGTGGATAGCCGTGACTGGCTCTATACCCGTGTAGAGGAAGAGTATGATCGATTCGAGAACCAGATTACATATTTCAAGACATCCATAGAGGATGTGGCGGCACGGGCTCAAAGACTCTTGGATCTGGTATGTAACTTACTACAGTCCCAAATATCTAGAACTAAACTGACTCGAGATGACGACTAGCTTTTCAACTTGAGTACTCGGCACAGTACACATTTCAGTTCTCGTATGGCTGAGGAAGCAATGAAGGAGAGTGCATCGATGAGCACCATTGCGATCATGACCATGGTTTTCCTTCCAGGGACATTTGTTGCCGTAAGCTTTACTCCATGCGAAACTATCAAGGCACATCAGTTAACGGTAAGACATAGGGATTTCTAGGGACGAATCTTGTTAGTGGTCCGGGTCAAGCTGATGGTTCCTCGACCAAAACGGGCAATTCTACGACAATTACGATATCATCCCAATGGTGGATATTCCCAGCTGCAACTATTCCACTGACTTTACTCACGTTTCTACTATGGTATCTATGGAAAGTATATGCCGAAAGGATGGTCAATAAACGCATCTTGAAAGATAAACGTATGCAAGGCGAAGTTTGATTTATTATAATACCCCTATGCATTGTTTTGATATTACCTAGGAGATGGTTATGAAATTTCTCAAATTATTGTCTGGTCCTTTTTGCAACTTGATTAAATCCAGGGTACGATTATCCTCCTTTAGAGATGGGAAATTTCGTATGATTATTCACTTCAGATGGGCCCAAGCAGGTTCCTGTTCGACGAATTCTTTCCAGGTGGTCGGGGCTTCATCAAGAAGCTATCATGGAAAAGTTAGCATCCTGTTTTAACGCCAGGATTCATAAATGAACTACCACTTACGTCAAGACTCTCCTTCAGGCTTGCACCACCATAATACCCAAACATATACAATAGTTGCATATTCTGAAGCATCTCCTCCCTTGCCTTCTCCGACATATTGCCTATGGCAAGGATTCCCTTGAAATCCTCGTCCGGGATATGAATAGCAGCGCCACCCTGGCCATCCTGCGTCTTGACAGCTTGAAACTCGGCGATAATGCGGTCTGGAGTATAGTAATCGGTTGCTCCATATATCTGCTTCCCAAGCACTTTCTCCCGGTTGAGTAAAATGGCTTTGACGAATTTTCCGGTATCCCGGTAGCTGTCGAAAAGGGGAATGGGGGTATTATTTGGAACCGGGTTGCTAAAGTTATATACCCCGGATACGTTGTTTAGAGTGCCAGCTGGGATATTGGACATGTAGAATCCAGGAAGGAAGAACGTGGCTGGTACATCAATGCTGCGAATATATTCCTCCACAGCAGCCTTGGAGTCAAAGTGAGAGACCCCTGTGAGCTTTCCACCAGACACTTGAATGGCTTGTTAGCTTGACGTTTCTTTGGTTCAAAATGAGGCAGAGACAATACCCTTAGTCACATTGATCAAGCTGCTCCAGATCAAATGCTGGACATTATCCTCCTAACATTTCACGTTACGTCAGTATCGTTCATTGTGGGAATGATTATGAGATACGCACTTTAGCGGCATCAGCGATATTCTTGCCCTGCTGGATCTCCGTCTCGGCGCTTCCTGTCTCCCAGAAATTGGTGACAGCAAATACAGCGTAAGCACCCTTGAAAGCTTCGATGAGAGATTCTTTACTATTGAGATCCGCCTATACACTGTTAGCCCGATAAAAGTAGTAATTGGGGCATTTTTTAACCGTGAAACAAACCTTGACACACTCAACCCCTCGTTTAGCCAGAGCCTGGGCAGATGGCTTCGATGGATCTCTAGTAATTGCACGGATAGAGAACTGCGCTGCAGCCTTCTCATCGCCGAGGACGGAGTTGATAACCGAACCACCCTGCTTTCCAGTAGCCCCAAGGACAACGAGGAGTTTCTTGTCTGCCATATTTGTTTGGTATGATGGAATGGTATCTAAAGACGCTTGAAGACCCTAGTTAGCGGCGTGATAGCGGCGTAGTTATATGGATTAGATGGAAGGATATTTGGAAGAGGGGAACTCGATATTAAATGCTGTGTCGCCAGTGATGTCATTTAAGCGATCGAGTCTGAGCAGTAACTATGAGGTTCTTATATAGACATTTTGCCTGCTGCGTCCAGAACAGCGTCGAATACAAGGGATATCTCATTGCTAATCTGATCTCTTCTCTCCTCTCCAGCTCGCCCTTCACGAAAGGGCCGAATGTGGCGAGGACATGGTTTGGTAATGCTTAGGTGGCCGATGGTTGGTAGTTTGTAATCCGCTGGGAACATCGACCAACTTTTACCTTGCTGGATAGCCAATTTCCAAGGCGTTTCGGAGCAAAGCAAGCACCGACGGTGACGATATAGTTATTAGGCCACTGTGGAGGGTTAGAGAAGCGTCTGGGCGTGGTTACACTGTTGGTTGTTGCGTCGTCGTTATGCAGTGTATGGTAGAAACTGGCAACCTGGCATTGGCTATCGGTAGTGTTGTCCTTATGTACACAGAATGTTGATTATGATTTTATTATGTACTCAGTGGCCGGCATGGATAGATATCGCATGGGTTATGCATACCATCCGGTTAGTCTATAATTGCGGTTGAAAGGCTGCCTGATCTTATGTTGAGAATATATTTCGGACGAATAATTTGTGCGTCTGGTACGGGAGGCGTGGAGTATACGGAGTTACATCGCGTTCAGGGTTTGAGATCGCGATATCACAAATTATTGAAACACCGATGCCCTTGACCTAATATGGGCTATCCTGTCAGTCGATCTGTTTCTTTGCAGCCAGCTAGTTAAAAGCTCAACAAGCAGTGAAAATCAGCCTCTGCTATGACAATCCATATATCAGCGCCTTTATGCTTCATGCATATTTTGTTATGCACAACTTATGCACTGATAGATTACATCATCACCACCTCACGTGATTCACACTCAGCTCGAGCTGGAGCCTGGGGAATTTTGTATTGTGACGAAGAATAAAAGCGACAAAATAATAATATACGAGCGAACCAGAGAAAAGGGCGAGTCACAGCGAACGCAGCGAATGGCGATGCAGGAAGTGGAGGTCAAGGACCCCCCTTGGGCGACGCGGTTTCATGCTGGCGGTTCACTCTCGGGCGGCCCCTTGGATGGTGCTTGCGTGGTGCGACCCCCAGAGCCAGCGTTGCCAGCGTTGCTGCAGCCGTCTTGCTCGAGAACATGCGGACATCCCTGCGTTCCTTGAAATTGGTGGCCAATCAGCGCTCGTGTAGGCGAGGGTGACCGGCCTCCTGAGCGTCGCTCGGCCAGGATCCACCGTCCAGTCCACACTTGACAGGATTTGCAAGTTTGATTCGATGTGCAAAGACCTGTGGCCATGCAAGCACTGCAGCTAACATGTTTCGGGTTAGCGCCGTACAACTCTTGATATACTTAGATCCCAGTAAGATTGATTTCTCTGGATGACCGTCACCGCGCTAACCAGGCCTAGGGGTGCCCGGAGCACTCTTTCTTCAGGGTTTGGACAGAGGGCATTATGATTTGCTACAGTCTGCTTGTTCGAATGCAGTCGTTCTTTCTCTCGTCTCCATGAAGTCGTATGCCTTTGCTGACTTGGACTTTGGGGTGGAAGATGCCAGGGGCTCGGTGGAGTGCTCCGTACTTTTCGCCGAAGCAAGCAACCTCGCCATGTGGTTCTCGTATGATACGCAATAAAAAATGAAATTAGGGAAGGATGAGCCTCTGTCAAGTAGACGGCTACCGGGGATTTGCTGATGGAAGCCTGATGTCTGGTGGAAATAATAAGCGTCAACACAAAAGCAAGCCTGACGTGAAGGCGATCAAGCTCCCCTATCTAGTTATCACGTGACATGCACCCAGTCCACTGGATTATTTATTTATTTATTTTTTTTTTTTTCCATCAAAAACGGGCCATGGATGGAGGCAGCAGAGGCAGGCAAGCCTAAAAAGCTCACTGGCGGCGCCTAGGGTCAAGGGACACCAAGCCACAGACGACTAGTGGCTCCCCCACAGCACCCAGCACCACGCAAAACGAATAACGAGAGTAACGACGTGCGGGCGACGACGATGGCCTGCTTTTTTCTGTGATTCGCTGTCCCCTACTATCCCGTCACCCTGGGCGGCACACTTCGAGCCTTCAACTGCGGCCAAATCAGCTGCTGGCGATGCGAAAAAGAAGATCTGGAGAGGGATCTACCACGTGACCAACGCTGTTCTGATGCGCGCGAAAGAAGGAACGAATAAAGGTGGTCCTTGCCTAAAACAGCGCAAAGCCCGCTAACCTAAGCTAAAACTCTTTTACTAACCAGAGCTAACTCGGCATCCTCGAGTTTTCCAGTCCTTCAACCTCCCTCCACCCTCCCTCGACGCAACAACGAGAACATCGACAGCGACGACGACGTTGTGATCGCTGAAGATAGGATCCACCGCAGCGGCAGAGACGAGCTCAAGGCCTGGAGAATCAGTTATCCCAGGCTCCGTTTCGGGATTCGCCTCTTTTCTTTTCTTTTCTTTTCTTTTCGCAGCCTCAAATAACGAAAACGGGGGGGGGAGGAACAAGAGAATCGAAATCAGACTTGTTACTTGCGCTGCATCGACGCGCATTTTCTCTCATCTTCATTCTGCTTAATTTATCTCTAGCCGGATAGTTTCTCTCTCTTCTTTGGCTGTTTCGCCTTTTCCTTCTTTTTTTTTTCTTTTCTTTAATCCTTTTTCTCGTCGCTCCTTTATCCATTTTTATCAACTTCCCGCTTCACCGCAAGAGAACTGCGTTCCGAGGAGGAGTTGGATATCGCTCTCGTTTTTCTTCCCAGTCTACCTGGCTCATCGACTGTATCTCCTGTCGTTTCTCCCTTTCCCGCCTTGTCCGGACGGAAATTGGACTTCTTGCATCCCTGTAATGCAAGGTTGACTGCCTGATCTTGAAGCTCCATTCATTACTGCGCAGTTCCTCTGTCGCCCACTGCCTGGTGCTTGTCTCGCCGCGCGATCTCCTGCCGGGGACGTCGTGATTCCAGAGAGGTTCACATCTTAGTCACGGCTCTTCAGGGTGTCTCCGTTCATCATATCTTTCCATTCGCCTTTCCCGCAATTCCCTGGCGCGCTGGCCGTTTTTCCCTCTTGCGTCCACCAAAACCGGGAAGTCACGTGCTGAAACTCTATTCTTTAAGATTACTTAAATATTGATGCAGTCACGTGTCTATGGCTTCTCGATTCCCGCCGCGGGACCGCTCACCACCGCCATCTAGATACGGCGACAGGGGCCCGCCGCCGTCTCATGGACCATCATCACATATGCCATCGGGCCCCAGGGGGAATGACGATGTCAATTCTACACCACTAGGTCGAGACCCTCCTCGTGGTCCTAAGGCCCTCATAGATTCGTCCAGGGGTGGCCATTTCCTTCCATCCGGCCCAAGGGGAAGAGGATTCCCTGGCCGGAACGACTTCAGAGATCGAGATAGGGACAGGATCGACCCCCGGGACCTAAGGGATGGCCCGCCGCCCCGAAGAGGCGATGGAGACCGTGACTGGCCTCGTAGAGATCGTGGGTTTGATTCACGAGACAGTCACGGCCGGATGGGGTTCGGTCGAGGACGATCGAGGTCGCCTCCTATGAGAGACTTTAGAGACTCAAGGGACAGCGGACCCAGAGAATTGGATATACCACGTCTACGCAGAAATTCAAGAGATGGACCAATCTCACTTAACACGCCACTTTCAGACCTTCCTCCCCTGAGAGGAGGTTCGATGCGAGGCCGTGGGCGTGGTGACCGAGATAGAGGACGAGGGAGAGGTATGCCGCTGGAAGACAGAGATCTATTCAGAGGGCGGAGTCGGTCTCGCGATGGCTGGCGAGACGTCCGCATGGACCGAGACAGGGACCGTAACCGTGACCCACGAGATCGGGATAGGGATAGAGATCGAATGCTCGATCGAGAACTCGACAGGAGAGATCGCTTCGATCGCCGTGATCGCGATGATGATAGGTGGTCGCAGCGCGACGACAGAGACCGGTTTGAGCGGGCGGAGCCTTGGAAAAAGGATCGACCGCCACCTCGCATCGATACCAAGACTTCTGGTGCTCATTCTGCCAACCCGTCATCTGCTGTATCACAGACCCCAACCCTGATGTCTCTCGGTGCGTCCGCAGTTGGCACTGAAGACGAGGTCACTGCTGCTTCTGCTTCTGCTGCTGCTGGGCCCCGAAAAGCTGGTAGTACATCTTCCACCCCCAGGGAGTCAAGGCGGCCCTCGGAAAAGACAGAACATGTCACCCCTATCCGTACACCGACACATGTTCAGTCAACGCCGGCTCAGCCCGAACAGCCATCTGAACGGCCTACACCACAGTTCTCTCCTTCTCCTGCTGCCCCAGAAGTGCCTGCCTTTGGTTCTCTCTCTTCTGCTGGCTCGGCTGCTACTCTTACGGAAACTGTTACCCCTGAACCGTCAAGAAAATTATTACAGTCGGATACCCCCAGAGAGCGTCCTGATCTATTCCCTTCTACTCCTATCAAGCCTCCAACTGCCCCTAGAGCCGATAGAGTGGATGCACAGCAACGTCCCGACCGGAGTAAAACTGAAGTGCCTCTTCGATCCAGCCGTCCACCGTCAGCCTCCCCGGTCGCTCAACCCAGCTACATGATTGACCATAGCCACCCCGACCCCGCACTGGACCGAGGCATTGCTCATGAGCCAGCACCTCAATCAAACAAGGCCAAGGATGCTCATGCTTCCTCCAATGAACAGGAGCCCGACCTCTTTCCCTCGTTACTTGGCCCGTTGGGCTCCAGTAACGCTGCTCTCCCATCATCCACCCGCGCTTCATCTCTACCCACACAATCTCAACCACACCCACAAAAGTCACCACCGCCTCATTCAATCTCGCTTTCTCCAAACTCTCAGCATGCATCTATACCTACTGGGCCGAGAGCGCAACAACAGCGCTCCACTGGTCAACGGCCCGGAGCCAAAAGTAGTAATCAATGGGTCAGGCCAGGGTATGTGAATAGAAGAATGTCAGCCACTAACTTACCGTCAAGTAAGAGAGACCTTTGGGATGAGGGGAACAAAAGACAGGTGCTTGAAAGTCCGTTCGTACCCGAGGGTTCTCTTAGCAGTAGCGGTCATGGGGAGGAGGAGGCTCAACCATCTATTACCCCTGTTAATGGAGAGGAGAGTGAAAAAAGGGAGACGGAGAAGGAGAACGCAAGCTCTGAGCCTACACGAGAGCACCCTGAGGAGAATAAAACTCGCTCATCAGAGGAGGAAATACAGGGACAATCTCGTGATGTCGATAATGATATAAAGATGCTTGATGCACCGGAGGCTGGGGAAATCAAAGAGACAGAAGAGACTCAGGAAGAACCAGAGCAACATATTATGCTATTCGACGAACCGAGTGACCAGCAATCTGACGATGATGATGCCCTGGATGAAGAAGACTTCAATCAATCCGAGCAACGTTTCGAGAAGGAAATGCTGGCCCTAAAATCAGAAATTCCGCTGCCTCCACTGCAGGACCCAGTTGTAGTCGATCTACTCATGAAGATTCAGATGCTTGGGATGATAGCTGATGGCGCTGCACCAGCAAATCTTGATCAGCCAGGAGCTGCAATGGAAGTCGAAAGTCCTGATAAGCCGGTTGCTATCATCCCATTATCTGGTAAAGAAGCGGAAGAGGTCGAGCTTGCGGAAGAAGTAAGACCTATTGAGAATGCTGCCGGAACGCCTGTGACAATACCTATCATCGAAGCCAAGGCGATAGAATCATTGCCATTCCTACCTTCTGGCCCACCTACCCCCTTCTCGGACATGGAAACATTACAGGAAAATTATAAACTCCATGAGCGTATAAAGGATTCGCTGTTGGAAGATATCATCAAACAACGAAGTGAAGTTGCTAAACAGCATGCCGTCTTGCGTGAGCAGTACGCGCGGTACTACAAAGCCTGGAGACTGAAAGTACGTGACATGGATAAAAAGAAAGAGGAGGCGAGGAAAGCTGAGTCGGAATTATCATCAACCCCTCCGCCCTCCGCGGCCGCTGCAGCAGCTCTCCCTGTGATCGAAGGAAGGCGGGGATATAAACTGAACAGTGAGCTTGACTTCCAACTTGCTCTAAAGGCATCTGCAATCACAGCACAAGAGGAATCAGAGCGTCGTCGAGATCAAGAGGCCACCGTTCACCCTGACATGACTCGTGAAGCCCGTATCCCGGACATGTTAGACGAGTACCAGAAGAAAGCAAGTCTCTACCAAGACACTAACCAAATGGTCGATCCTGCTGATGCCTTCACTGTTTTTGCCTTCCATCCCCCGCCTAACGACTTTACACCTGAAGAACACAAAGCTTTTACTGAAGCCTTCATGGCTCACCCGAAGAAATGGGGCAAAATTGCTGAACTACTTCCAGGCCGTACTTTCCAGCAGTGTGTGATGCATTACTACTCTACCAAAGAAGAGATCAAGTACAAGGCCAAGCTTAATAAGAAGTGGACGCGTAAGGGACGTGCAAGAAAAACTGCAAGAGCCCCAAGATCAAATGCTCTCATGGCAGATTTGGGAATTCGACCTGCTTATGATGCAGATGATGCTGAGGCACCTGTTGTTACTGATACAGGAAGGCCCAGACGTGCGGCCGCACCTACATTTGGCGAGTCAAATGCAGACACTGAAAGTAACACCCCCACACCGGCGTCTGGGAAGCGCGGAGGCGCAAAGGACTCCAGCGATCAGCCTGCTGAGAGAGCCCCCGGAAGACGAGCTGGTCGTGGTGGCGGTGGCGGCCGTGGTGGTCGAAGAGGGAGGGGAGGTGGTCAGCAGGCTGTTTCGAGAGCGGAACCTGCACCACCCACGACTGCAGCTGCTGCAGCATGTGCCACTACCTTGCCCGCAGTCGCTCCCCTGGCAAAGCCTGAGGCGGATGCCGTGGAATCGTTGGTTGATGCGATGTTGAAGGCTAAGGAGGAGATTCGAAGCCGGTGGAAGAGCCCGTGGTGCGCTCCAAACCGAGTAGAAGTTCTCGAAATAAGGAGCAGCAGCAGCAGCAACCGGTACAGCAGCAACAGATGCAGCCAATAGTTCAGCCGGGCCTAGAGGCCCCTGAGCCAGGTTCAAAGGGAGGCCCAGGCGATGGCGGGTATGGCTCACTGCAGCCTACCAGCTATTGGTCTGTACCTGAAGTCAAGGATTTCCCAGACCTGGTGGCGCATTTCGGCAAGGATTTCGACGCCATTTCTCAATTCATGAAAACAAAGACACCAACGATGGTATGCATTTACTAATTGAATTCTTCAATAGACCCGGATGGATGCTAACAACTTTTTCTAGGTGAAAAACTACTTTCAGCGCCGTGTTGACGGTGGGAAGACAGAACTAGAAGAAGTTGCATTGATAGCTGAAGCCAAGAAACTGCGAGGCGAGCCCACTGGACCCCTACCGACCCCGAGTGTTAGTTCAAAGCGACGATATGAGGCTACCCCATCATCAATTGCGCCACGAGCTTTGGCGCCCAATATGGAACATGCTGAGATGATGGACAGAACGCTAGCGCCTAAGGCCAAGCCATCCGTTATCAATTTGGCACCTGTACCGGCTGTGATACAACCACGTCAAGGTATGGAGAAAGACCGGTCACAACCAAAACTATACCCCCTTGTTCAGGCTCCTGCAAGTCAGCCCAACCTCGCTGCCACTAGTGACGAGCTCCACCAACGCTCTGTCAGCACCTCACAATTGCCTCAGTCCCATCGAAATCAACAAGGGCCAAGAATGGGTTATTTCACTGATGAGCGTAGGGAGAGTCGTCCTCCCGTTCACATCGCTGCTCACATGTCAGAGCAGGACGTGAAGCCAATACCGTCTTCATTGACGAGCCAAGTAACTCCGGGGATGCCATTGCAGACTCTTCCGCGACAGAACCCAAACGTTGTGCCCCAAATTCAAGACCTTGGAGACATTCCACGCTACGGCCCCCTGTCGCAGCCACCTACATTCCCTCAAGGGCCTTACCTGCAGCCGCCGAGTGGTGCACGCAACACCTCAACGACGCCGCAGTCACACTCTCGTCGCTCAAGCCGTACAATTCCTTCTGCCGTCACTTCTCCTGTTCAAAGGCATATCAAACTCGACACTGATCCAAGTGGAATACCAGCCATGGAAAGGCCGGCGCCAATAGGCCCTCCAGCGTATTTAACTCCTGGTCATCCTGTATCTGTAGGCCGACAAGGCCCTACTCTTACCCCTCCTACGGACCATGGTCGACCGAGAATAGCTGCCGCACCAGTTGCACCAGCAGCGCCAGAGCCTCAACGTCAGGTTCCTGCGAAACGTTCCAATATCATGAACATTCTAAACGATGAACCGGAAGAGCCTCAGCCAAGGAAAAAGTTTGCAAGCGAACAGTCAGCACCCTCAGTTGCTATTGGACCCCCCTCTCCATCACGGCCTGTTTACCAGGGACGTCATTCCTCGTTAGGCCAGCCGGGTCATTCCGAGGATCAGCATAATTATCAAAGGCAGCCACAGTATTATTCTGGTACATCTCAGCCTCAACATCACCAGCAACAGCAGCAATCTCAAGTACAATCTGGATCTAGTGGACAATATGCAGAACCTCCGTCCACCTCGACGAGAGGTTCTACTACTCAGGATTGGATGGCGAGGTTTGATCCTCGCGAGCAGCAACAATCACATTCGAGTTCTTCTACTCCATCAATTTCCAGGCTACCTAGCTATAGTCATGGATTCTCTGGTTCTGGGCCTCATACGCCTCATTCTGTATCAGGCCTTCAACATATGTCCGACCAGTCTCAAGGTGCCTCCCAGCCACGCCAGTCGTTTTCACATCAGCCTTTGCAGCAGCCGCCAGTGCAGGGGTTGCAGGACCGGAGCCAGCAACCCCAGCCACACCTGGGTCCCGCAGGGCGAGAGTCCCCAGGTCCTCGCCATATCCAAGCCCACCCGCTCACGCGGTCGCCCGTTCAGCGACACAACGCCCCATACTCTAGCAAAGTCTCGCAGCAACGTTCTACTTCGCCCTTACCGTCTGGTCCCGGTAATATGAACCCGCATGTGAGCCAGATGTCTGGTTACAATCCTCCTGGAGTCAGCCACCATAAAGCGTCTCAAAGCCAGCATCAGCCAGGTCCTCCGCATTTATTGTCTCAATCCCACCAGCATGGGATGCATGGAAGTAATGGGTCACAGTATGGTCCACATGTTCAGCAACTGTCGTCATCCACCTCACGCCACGCACCTCCACAATCCGTCATGCAGCAGGAACAGCAGGCGCACCAACATCAGCATCTTCAGCACCAGCATCAACGCTCGCATCAGCCTCAGCCACACCCACATCACCAACACCATCAGCATCAGTCCTCCCTCTCGCTAAGTCAACGTAGCAATTCTCCTTTTGGCCACAGCCCACATATGACTCCTCAACAAGTCTCTCATACCCAAGGGATACCTCGTGCCGGGGGCCCCTTGTCATCTTCCAATGCGCCTAGTCACCCTGGCATGAATATGGGAAGATCATATACCCCTCCGTCAAACCTAGGCCAGCATCACCCACAAAACGGCTCCAACAGCGCGCTATCCTACTCAAACACACCGTCTCACCCTCTTCACCAATCCGGCCAAGGAAATACCCTTCATCAACAACATTTACGATCGCGTCATGGATCTGGCGGGCCCCCGCCCTCCGGACCGGGTCACCATAATATCTATCCGCAAGAACCCAGACAATAACCATACTGGATAAAGGTTTTAATCCTATCGACTTTTTTCGACTTTTCTTTTTCTTGGCCGCCTTTGGCCTCGTGTATTATCATGATATGTGTGGATGCCATGACGTCTCAGCTTGAAAATGGATACTGCATAAATAATCACGTCTCCTTGTCTTGCCGTCAGGTCTATTCAATTCAGTCTTCCAAGTCCTATAGTTTTCTTTTAACCTCATTCCCTTTTACTACTTATCCTGCATTGCACGACTTTTTATTTTTTGTTTTGTTATTATTAGCCTTCTTATTCATACGGACGTTGGCTGGTTTTCTGTTTCGGGAATTCTTTGCTTTTCACTTGTATGCATATAGTTTTTTTCTTTTTTTTGCTCTCCATGGCGGGATGAGATAAGATGGGTTGATTGACTAAATGCGGTACTGAAGCATGGACACGGGTTTGATTCGTACGTTCACATATCATTAATAGTCGATAATTATCTGTATATCTGTGCCTCTATCAAAGTTTGAAAATTATATAGATAGCCGTTAATAGGATTGACCGCATTGTCTGGTATATTCTCTCTCATCGTATATAAAATCCAGAGACGTGATACGGCAGACCCAACGGGAGCTTTGCTCTATATGTCAACGAAATAAGTGGGAACGTGGTATCCAAGCAATTGTGCTTGATTCGCAGCTACATCCGGGGCTTTTCCTTGCCAAGAAGGGCCTTGTTTGTTATGATATGTATTAGCAGTTTTGATTCTCTCAGATCATTTTTACTCAATTTGCCAGCTCCATGTACATAAACAATGGCATTATCAAGTGGATATACTCCGTACTCGGCACGCAACCCTTTCGTTGAAAATCTAGTTAAGCGACAAGCGAAACAGCCGCGAGTCTTTTCGCCTGTGGTAACTGAGCCATGGCGTAACAGGCGTTTATTAGTCAGCTTTTTTTTTTTTTTTTTTTTTTTTTTTTTTTTTTTTTTTTTTTGGGGTGGGATGTGATAAAAGCGAAGCAAGAAAAAGAGTGCTGCCCTGGCAGAGACGGTGACAGTGAGAAGGAGGAGAAGGAGAGGAATAAGAGCGTATCATTAGCTGGAAGTTGGCCTCGGACCGCGACTACGATTGACACCTTGCTGGCAAGTGCTGTGCGGTCGAAAAAGGCAATTAAGTGACCACCAACATCCCCCAATGACGTCCGAAAATGTTGCGCCTGAGGGCGCCAAAGCAGCTGTTCTGGTACCGTCGGAGGCCATTCCTGAAGATGCAAAGCAGGTTAAGGGGCTCGAATTTGATCAATATGCCGACCGAGATATTACCGCCGCGGAATTAGTCGAGAATATGGCCACAATGGGCTTCCAGGCCAGTGCTGTTGCTGAGGCAGCTCGTGTCATTAACGACATGGTAACGGCATACTCACGCCACATATAAACTAAGATACATGCTAACAGGTACATAGAGGGTTTGGCGCGACCTAGAAACTGGTGATAAGACCACAATCTTCCTCGGGTACACCTCCAATCTGGTATCCTCCGGTCTCCGGGAAACAATCCGCTATCTGGTTCAACATAAGCATGTCTCCGCAATCGTTACAACTGCCGGTGGTGTAGAAGAGGACTTTATTAAATGTCTTGCTCCCACTTATCTGGGCAGTTTCTCTTCCCCAGGAGCTGGTCTTCGTTCCAAGGGCCTCAATCGTATCGGCAACCTCGTCGTTCCCAACAGCAACTACTGCGCCTTTGAGGACTGGGTAGTTCCTATTCTCGATACTCTCGTTGCCGAACAAGAAGCGTCGAAGTCGACAGAAACACCTATACATTGGACACCAAGCAAAATCATTGCCCGCCTGGGCAAAGAAATCAACGATCCTTCATCTATATACTACTGGGCCTGGAAGAACTCTATTCCCGTCTTCTGCCCTGCCCTGACAGACGGCAGCCTCGGTGACATGATGTATTTCCACACATTCCGCTCCTCTCCTGACCAGCTACGAGTTGATATTGTCGAAGACGTGCGTGCTATCAACACTTTGAGTGTTCGCGCCAAGAGGGCTGGCATGATCATCCTCGGCGGTGGAGTGGTCAAGCACCATATTGCTAATGCATGCCTAATGCGCAATGGTGCTGAGAGTGCAGTGTATATCAACACCGGCCAAGAGTTTGACGGCAGCGATGCAGGAGCTCGACCTGATGAAGCTGTTAGCTGGGGCAAAATCAAAGCTAACGCAGACAGCATAAAGGTCTATGCTGAAGCAACTGTTGTGTTTCCTCTCATCGTGGCTGCTACATTTGCTTCCCAGAAGAAGCAGGCTTAAAATAACCCCGTGAATATTTTCAGAGTCATCAGGTTCAAGGTTCTTCTCAGCACTCCATCTATCCAGCGTGCAAGACGTGTTAGTATCTATTAGCAAAAGGACGTGTGGGAGGCCCATACTCCGAATATGCGCCTGGAGCATCGTCCAGGTTAAGGGATATATATCCATCTAAACCATATTGACGAAACAACTAGACTGACAGTGCTCATGATTTACTAATCTATGAAGCCCGTCTCTTTCCAAAGATATGAAGCTTCCAGTCTGAATATGGTCATTTTTTTGTAGTTGGAATGCTACTCTGCTATGGAAGTTATGTTCCCGATACCAACCCTCTCTTTAAAATCTGACAGCGTCGATCTGTGGTATATCGGTGGAAGGCATACATCCTGCCTCATATGTGGCCCTCATTGGATATTTCACCAGTTTGTTAAATGGGTTCACATTCACGGTGAGAATGTTGAAGTCAGTATAAACGGCCCGGTTGACGTCATGAAGTGCTTATCCTTTACTGACTCGCGAGTTAGCTGAACTACCCACCGGCGATCCGAGCCCCATTTACAGGTCAATAGTCAACTTAGTTGCCTCGCGGCCGATACGCAGGCTTTGACATAGGCGGCGTTTTCATCCATCAAGAAGGGCAGACGACATCGCGAAGCTATTTTCTAAGAAGGCAAGTAGAGAGTCGTGATAATGGCAGGACTCATGTTTATACATACAAGTGATGACTGGTCCCGCAAGTCGCAAATATTGGACCAATTCCATGCATAACTGCCTGATACACTTAATAGATCTATAACAAGCTCCATTCAATATTAGACCAATCTCTGGCATTCGCTGAGGAGACAGTATTGTGCGGTTACAGGGAAATCCCTGCCAACTGGTAGTTCAATGACTGGCTTCGAAACCTAACCAAACTTCCCTACCGCAGTATTCTGTAGCTTGTTAATCGGATATCCTAGTAACTAGAAACAAGGAGTGATATATCGATCTATTTGGTGACAAGTTAACTGCTTGTCTAATCAAAGATCATAGAGACGCCAAGATGCCCCTGGGTGTTATTTGAGAAGCTAACAGGTTGAACGACGACTTATGCAGGTGATCAGGGGCTCAATTAACTAGTTAGCTAGCTGTGTAATTCCACATATTACTGCTGCCTATTTTCATCTTAAGCACCTCCTCTGTCCACTTCAGCTTCGTCGAACAGAATATAGACCACCAGCATGCCCGGTCTCAACTTTACCTACGAGTACTTTTGCGATTTTGTCCCTGTTTTATCCCGGGATTCCTCATCGCCCACCAATACCAGCAACCTCAACCCCCTTATCCATAGAGTCTTGACTCATTACACTGGTTCCACTATCTATGGGGTCGGCGGGCACTCCGTCTTTATATCCATATCCGAAGATCTGGCCCTCAAGGTTTCGTATAGAGCGGGCGGAGAGCATATCCGTCATGAGCAGTCCATCTTCAAGCTCCTACAGGCCGAGCCCTGTCCGTACATAGCTCATTCTTACTTCTCCGCACCAGACATCATCTTTATGGAGCTTGTAAAGAACGGCACACTTTACGACCGCATGGGGCAGAAAGACAAACCACGCCTTATCATAAAGTGGATGCAACAGCTCTGCGAGGCTGCGGTGGCTTTAGAGAACATAGGATACGCCCACGGAGACATCAATCCTCGAAACATCCTATTTGACGACCAGGAAAACGTTCGACTAGTTGATTTCGATCATGCACTCAAGGTCGGGGAGAAAGTAGAAGTGGGTGAAGAGCCGTTGTGCGTCGCTACAGGGCCCACTATGGAATCGCAGGACCTTGTACGGAGCAGTTTGCTTTGGGATCTGTGCTGTGGTACCTGACTCGGGGCAGGGAATTGTATTCCGACATTGATGGGGCAGAGCAAGTCAATAGGCTGAGCCGGTGTACCTTTCCCGAAGTGGACTCCGAAGATCCCATCGATGCGATTATTAGTGACTGCTGGCAGGCGAAGTTTGACTCAATGGCCGCGTTGGAGAAACGGGTTCGTCTAGTCACTTTTGAAAAGAGCATTGAAGAAAAGAAGGGAGTGTGTCAGCATTACTACGATTCTCTCGGATCTGCTTTGGATGATACGGAGTGATCAGCTTAACCGTTAGAATTATCCCCTGTTAAGTTAGTAGATAGCATGCTGTTGATCATTGTTTCATCGTGTGTTTTCCTTTTGATCAGGTCAGAGTCGCATGACATGGCGTTGTTCCAGACCCAGGAACGCTTGTTAACTACCAGCAGATCCATCTATTTGAGTTCGAAGTCAACAGGCAGCCGATATAACTCTACCGAGCCGTGACAAAGACTCGAAGCTAAGCGCCGGGATGGGGGTGTGCACATGGTGGTGGTGGTGGTGGTGCATGGAGGAGCACTGCGCCCACAGAGCAACAATCGGTCATAGCTGTGCCGCCCTCTAGGCAGCAGCATGGCTGCCTGCTGCCAGTCCCTTGCCAGCAAGCCAGAATCATCACTTTTTAACCAGTCATCTGGACTAAACTTCGTATCCTGGACGGATGTTGGGGCGGTGGATCAGGTTCCACCCTGGAGCTCAAGTCACTGGCTTCAAGGGTGCTCTCTTCGGCCAGAACTCGCAGTCATCCAGCCAATGCAAGAAAGAACCCGGCACCGTCACCACGGATTGCTGTAGCCTAGAGAGAATAATAGAGTCAGCGAAGAGTCATGAACGCGGGCTGTGGCTGTAGGGTACCGAACTAAACAAACCAGCTGGGCAGACAGGCAGATCGGGTCGGCAGGAAGAGCCACCGGAGGAGCGTGTCTCCAGCCAGCGATCTCCAGCGTCTCCGCCATCCATGTCTCGCCGGCGCCGTCTGTCCTGGCCGTGTCTTCCTTGTCCCGTCCTGGCACTCCTGGGCCTGTCTGTGGGCGTCTCGCCGGCGCTGCTGGCTGCCTTGCCTTTGCCCTGCCCTGCGGCCGGCGATGCTGGTTGGTCGGCGAGCGCAAGGCGGTTAAACCCTCTTTTGGGGCTAGCGGGCTCCCTGCTCGGCTTAGTCACGAAACCTTCCCGCTAGGCCCGACTAGTTAAACGGTGAGCCCCAGGAAGGCCAGCATCATCGACCTCCGTCACCGTCACCGTCCATCATCCCGTCATCCTCATCCTCTTCCTCGCCCAACAACCAGCTTCCGTCACCCGCAGCTCGCCAGCAACGCCAGCAGCGCCCTCGACGCTTTCTTACTGCTTTTATACGCCTCCGGTCATTTACTATCACTAGGAGACGCTCCGTATCTATTCACTGCTCTCCAGCTAGTCTTGTCTCCACATAACTAGCTGTCAGTCATAGCTGTCTCACCGTCCTCTGCTGCCTCTCATCGGCTAACCACGTCTGTTTTCACAGCCGTCCGTCTAGATACACGCTCTTGCGGCTCTGTTGATGTGTTGTCTGCCTCGTCTTGTATTCATCTGCAAGCCAGAAGAGCCCATCTTACACGCACAGAGTATAGCCTAGCCCCCAGCCTACGCACAGCCATCCTCCCCATTCACGGCACAGCCTTTCAGCTCATAAGAGCCAATGGAGGTTGCCGTGGAAGCTCAACGAGCCTCTCTCAGTCAACCGGCCCCTCCCTATACGTCTTCCTCTCAGACTCATGCCTCAGCCGAGCCAGAGCCGCAGGCTGAGTCCCCAGATCGCCACCAGGACCAGCAGAGTCACGACCAACCGCTACAGAATGGCGTTATGCCTACGGTAGCAGATGTCCCTCCATCCTCTGCTACACACAGCTCTGCTACAGAGACAGAATCCTCGGCCCCTGATCGACCGGCTGTAGAAACTCTTGCACCGGTCTCTTCTGAGACAACCGAGCAGTCAGTCAACACTCAGGTTGTCGAGGTCATCGAAACCCCATCAACGGATGTTCCCGTTGTGAATGGAGAGCCAGACACGATGGAAACTGATACCGCTGTAAATGGCGGTCAGGCTCCAGTGGATGGCCAGATTCAGCCCCAAAACGAAAACACACCGGTCAACGGCACCACCGAACAACAAGATCAGTCACAACCTCGAGAGAATGAGGAACCATCAGAGGACTCCTCGCCTTCTACCGCTTCTGACGGGTCAACAGACTCCAGTGAGTCAACTGAGCGAACGGGAGAAGACTACGACGAGGACGAGAATGATGAGCCGGCTTACTGGGCCGAGTACAAGGAGGATACCTCCGTGGCAGAGGGAGACGAGCTCAAAGAGATCGAAAGCGGGGATGCCGATCACAGTGCTCATGAGTGTAAGCCTCACAGTAAATTGCTTCTCGGCAGCGCAGCCACTTGACTAACCTTCTTCTCGATAGACGATTACATCGAAAAATCATTCTACCATGAACTAGACGATCCCGAGTACAAGCCGATAGAGAAAGCCCGTATAACGTGGAAGATAACCGGAGTCCGGGGTACCAAGGAAAAGCCTAACAGAGCTACCATCATTCGGTCTCCACCGGCCTACATCGGCGGATACTACTGGACCCTAAAGTTCTTCCCTCGTGGAAACAGTGTGGGATCACTCAGCGTTTATCTCGAGTGTTCCCCAACACCACCAGTGCAGGACAAGGTAGTTCTCGAGACTGAATTTAAAGTCCTCAAGGGCCCTCCAGATGCGGTTTTGAGCGACCTGACCCCCGACCAAGAATATAAGCTGGCAGCCACTGTCGCTCCACCCAAGTCCACACAATCCGAAGAATCTTCTAGAAAGAGTCAAGAAAAGGACCAAGAGGAGCTTCCAGAGGCAGACAGCGAGGAAAAGATAGAGGGTGAATCGTCTTCCAAGCCGAGATCGGACTTCCGTATCTCGGCTCAAATCGGAGTCGTTCTCTACAACCCAGAGGAACCACGAACAGGCTGGACTCAATCCTCCTGCCACCAATTCAACTCCCACAACTTCGACTGGGGTTGGACACACTTCCATGGGCCCGGGCCATGGAACACCATCCATCTCCGTCAACATGGCCAGCGTCAGGCCCTTCTCCGCAATGATACTCTATGTTTTGATGCATACATCCGCCTGTTCGACGATCCCACAAAATCTTTGTGGTGGCATTCAAGCGACTCGGAGCCAATTTGGGACTCTTACTCCCTTGTTGGCCTCAGACCTATGGGTGATGTGTCGGTGAACTACTGCCAGCACACAGCAGGCTTAGTGCCATGGCTTCTCCTATCTCCGTTTAGAGAAATGGTCAAGAGTATCGATGTTATGAAGCATATCAACCATATAGCCGCTCGCCCAAAGCCGGTGTGTGAGGCACTGCAGGTTATCGTACATGAGATGACTGCAGAGAACATTGCTTCCGTACGCACCGAAGGAGTACTGAAGGGCCCTAAGGTATCTACTCGAGGCCTCTGGAGATGTAGTTGAATTCTGGGAGCGCCTTAGACGAAGTCTACAGATCGAACTTGCTGGCACTGATGCCATTGAGAAGCTGGCCTCCATCTTTGACAGCCCCAATGATGACTCGAAGATGTCAGACGAGTCATTAAATATGCTTCCTCGTGATTTTAACAGTCGCATTCGTATCACCTCCGAGAATACTGAGAGCATACAGTCCGGTGTCACAGAGTATTTGAAGGCTCGAGAGGGCAAATGGTCACTCCCTCCTGTCCTACAAATTGAACTCTCACGTCAGAAATTCGATAAAAAGGCTCGTCAATGGAAATTCCTTGTCAACCGTGTACACCGTAACGAGGAACTTGATCTCTCTAGCTTTGTTGACTCTGGGGTCCAGGGTAAATACACATTGTTCAGCTTCATTGCTCACAAGGGCCATCGGACATCACGATGGTATTACCCCCTTGTTCGGCCCGCTGGTCAAGGAACCCATTGGCTCGCTTTCAAGGGTGAAGACCCTTACCGAATTGAGTGTCTGACTGCCAAAGCTGCCACAGAAAGTTATGAAGGCCTTGATATTGCAGAGGTTGGCAACGGAGAGCCCGTCAACGCCGAGATCGCAGTCGCATTTATCTACATCCGCAATGATCTGCAGGACCAATACTTGACTCCTAAGCTGGAGTCCTGGACCCCTTCGCCTGCATGGCACCGTTATATGCAGGGCCTCTCTCCTGACAAATCAGCCGTTGAGCCAGAGCAGCAAATCCCAGTTGTCTTCTATGGTATAAACGGTGTGTCGAAAGATACACGGAATCCGGCGGCGGCATATGATGTTATTGACCATCTAACTTCGGAAAAGGACACCATAACAATGACAGTTCCGGTATCAATGAATGTCGGTGAATTGAGAGCCAAGCTTGCGGCCCAACTCTCGACGGATGAAAACCCAGTCGCTAACGAAAGAATACGTATGTGGACTATTGGGGCACCACATGAGGTCCGTTTGTTCAATTTCAGCATGGAGCCCCTAGTTTCTATGGGCTTTCAGCTTTCAAGCCTTGGTTGGAATGCTTTGCGCATATGGGTTCAAATTTTGAATGAGGGTAAGCAATAGCTATAATCGAATGTTGTGTAAGAGATAGTATACTAACTTTGACTCCTTCTCTAGAAGATGTAAAATACTTCTCCATCCCCGAGTTTGTTACTCCACCACCTGTTCCCAATGAAACAGATATGAAGGAGGATTTGCCAGCTCCTCCATCACAACCCCTCGTTGAAAACGAGGAGCAACCTCAGCCAGCTCAAGAGATCCAGCCGTCCAGCCAGGATGAAGATGTCGAAATGAATGATGCTAGCCCTGAGGAAGCACCTACCCAACCTAATCAGAACCGGGATGAACCTGAACATCCTTCAGAACACATCCCTAGTGCACCAGAACTGCCAGAACATGAAATGTCGGATAATGCCCCTGAGCAACCTGGGACTAATGGCATTGAACCCACCTCCGTTCCCGAAGCACAAACCGATGAGCAAGCTGCAAACGAAGCTATCATTGCCTCAATAATAGCACAAGATCTCGCACTCCTAGACCAGTCGCAGGAGATGGACACAAGCGGCAGCTTTACAGAAGCAAACGGAATTTCACCCCCTCCCCCTATGATCGATGAAGAAGCCGCAGATTCCCCAAGAAATGAGGCTGAAGAAAGTAGAGAAGTCCAAGAACATCACTCTGGCTCTGAAGACTCGCAGATGGAAGGTTCTCCGATTGTTGAATCTCAAAACGACGCTCCTGAAGAAACAAATGCTCAAACAAGCCAGGAGGAAGTCCAGAGAGAGGAACCCGTGATTCTTGAGCCTCCGGTCACAAAATCAGACCTTATCCTGCCATGCGACCAAGTGTACTACTTCGTCCAGGAATTCGACGCTGACAAGCAGACTGTGGAAACCGTTGGTGCTTTCTTCGCGAGGTCATCTTGCAATGTTCGCGAGCAGGTCCGAAAGACACTGGGTCTGTCTGAAGATCAGGGATATAACTTCTGGTCCCGCCGTAAGGCCGTGGCTTCGGTTCACAGCGTCTCGTCAAGCCACAAGTTTAGAGATCTGATAAACGACGTTGGATGTATCATTTTTGGAAAAACCATACCCAAGCGCCGGTAAGCAACAAGTATAAGTTATAAACTGAGTAGCAGGTACTAACAAATTATCTAAATAGACAAACTGAACTTGTGGAGGAAGGCTGTTTCCTTACTCCAGACCGTCTCCTGGAATATCTCTGGGCCGTTGATCGCCAACACCCAAATAAATCCTTCACTGGTAAAAAGACAATAGAAGCCGTTCTAAATGGTGAATACTATTCTGGTGACCTCTGCAAAGGTTACTACCACGGCAACGGAACTCACATCTCCGAAACCGGTGACACGTACACCGGTGACTTCGTCCAAGGCCGTCGCCAGGGTACAGGTATGATCGAGCACAGCTCCGGTGACACTTACACCGGCGATTGGTTCGAAGACCAACCACATGGCCAAGGGACGTGGGTCGAACACAAGACCGGCAACAAATACGTTGGCGGCTACCGTAACGGTAAACGCCACGGCAAGGGCGTCAGTTACTGGGAAGTAGCTGACGAGGAGATGAACCTTTGCCAAATCTGCTATACCGAAGAACAGGACTCGCTATTCTATACCTGCGGACACGTGTGTGCCTGCGGAACATGCGCGAGACAAGTCGAAATTTGTCCCGTCTGCCGAGAGAAAGTCATCAGCGTCGTGAAGATTTTCAGATGTTAAGAGATGATATCTATTCGCATATCATATACCATAAACCAAATACACCAATACAACATCCTACCACCCATACATGGACTGAGAATTAAAAACCATCTTCTCCCTTTTCCAACTCACCCCTATATCAACCTCAATTTAAAATCTCTAATCTCTCCCTAGATTAAATGGTCTCTCTACTTGGCGTCCTGTCTTTTACCTGAGCCAATTCCAGCAAGTTTACTCCCTTTTTTCTTTCTTTTTTCTACCTTTAATCATGACTTGAACGCTTAGTGTGGTGTTAGCCTCCACGATTCCCTCCCATTTTTTCTCCCCGAGTTTAGGCTGTGTTGATCTTTTCCCACTATCTTAACCCAAGTGCTGCTTTTACCCGTTCCACTCATCTCTACCCTAACTCTACTATCTTCTTCAAATGTATTCAGACCAAAGTACTCATACCTTCTGGTGCCATGTTGCTTTGCGGCTTCTCCCGGCGTAAATTGTTTATTTAGCCCCTGACGATGACGAAATATTAGTTTGAAATCCTTTCCTTCATTTAACTAGCTATGCTACACCGATACTCATTCGGGCCCGAAATAGAAGTTTATCTTTGCAAAAACCAAAAAGTCCATTCTTGTTTTTATCATTTGCTAGATGAGGTTGCTTGGAAATCTAGAAGTGCTAAAATATCCTGGCCATGGTAGCTGAACTTTGCGCCAATGTTAAGACAAAATGATGGGTAGGTTTGGAGTGCATAAGAAAAATGTCAAGTATATCTGTCCATCAGAGCCTTGAATAAGGGATCCTGCAGAAGCTCAGCCGCAGTTGGACGCTTCTCTGGTTCCAAGCAAAATCCCCGGCGGAACAACGAAGAGGCAACTTCAAGCTCGGCTTGATCAATGTCGGGGCGCAACCGTTTTATCAGGATTTCGAAGGCGCCTTGAGGATTTGGTTTTGTATCCTGATCATACTAATGGTCTTTATATTCCTAGAAAAGACGCCCCTTCCACTCGGCGGGAAGTGGACCAAGGCTTTCAACCATACTGGGAGTGATATCACCTCCGAATGTATTCCTGATAACGGGAAATCCCAAATAGAATTCCGAGAGTGCACACATGTAACTCCACATGTCGCAGGCTGTGCTGGGTGGGAAGCCATGAAGCCGTTCTGAGAGCAATATCTCATGGGTGGCCGGCCTTCTCGCTCGCCGGTTACTTGTTCACTGACATTCACGGCGAGGCTATAGTCTCCGAGTTAAAATGTGTCTTGCTGTAATTCCACCGGAACCTTTAATGGTATAACTTGCTGGGCTGGTTTCCATATCTCGAAGGGTAGCTTAAGAGGGCGACCAAGTAGTTCATATTTGTACTTCTTCGTATGATTTTCAACGGAGCAATGCCTTGGAAGCAGTTGTAACCTGTCACATCTGTAGATAGATAATGTTAGTAATGCCGTTTGAGTGTTTGCTCTGGGGAGAGAGAGGTGTCATACCCCGATGTACAATCCCAGCCCTATGTAGATGATTAAGAGCCTCAAACATTTGCCTAGCAGCTAACATCCGTGAGGCCATTGATAGTTTTTCGAGCTTAGGAAAGGTGAGACATTCGCCGACCCAGGGAAATACCAGAACTTGGTGGCGATTGGACGCTTCGACTTGGAGCGAAAAGGCCCTCAGGTAGGTGAGAACATGGGAAGTGTCCTTGACACGTCGAATGATCTCTTCGGGTATCTGAGCTTCATATTTGCCTTTCTCACTCGAGTCGGTGACTTTAAGAGCCACGACCGTTTTCTTTTCAAGATCGTAAGCTAGCCAAACGGTAGAGAAGCCGCCGTGTCCGAGTTTATGGTCGATGCGGTATCTGTCACTGAGGATTTCTCCTATGCATATTGGATAGAAGGCTCTTGACGCCTCGCTGTTATATCTAGAACTGTCCTCGCAGTAGTATTCGATATCACCCTCTTCTTCCTCCGTAGTCACAAAGTCGCCCAAGTCAGAGTCACCATCATCCGGGACGTCACCGCTTCGCGGGGGTATCTTCATGTCCTGTGGCGCCATTTGTATGGAAGTCTGAGGACTCACCGTAACTCTTCTTGTCGGGTGTAGAATAGAAAGGGTCTGCAAATTCTGTTTGTAAAGTTGCAGTTTTGGAAGAGTTTGAAGGTGATAGACAAGGATAGTTTTAAGGCAGACTGCGTCTCCCCTGCCATGCATGCACCTCGAACGCAACCGTCGACCATTTATTTATTGTTGCAAGGTTGTGAGTGTGACTGACAAACACGGCGTCAACTGGATTCACAAGCGGGGAAATGTATAAAAAGCCCGATAGTCAATTTCAGTCCCCAAATCCAACAGTTAAGACGTGGATTATGGAGGCCGAAGTGGAAGATTAACGAGCTAATAAGCTATTGGGCAGAGGCTGGGGAGAAGGAACTTCTGCAATTCTGCTAGACAGGCAGGCCAGCATTGTTAGTTGCGACAAACAAGATATCTAACCAATCTGATGATATTCTAAACACCGATGCTTGAGAATAGATCCATCTATCGAAGGCATTTATAACAGAAGTAAGTTAAAACTATGTTATCCCTTGTGAGAGATTTCGAATTAGAGGTGATGGAGTCCTTAGAGGTCCATGGATAGATCACAAACTAGCAGACGAGTCCATCTCCTTCGAGGTAAGATCCTTTCGTCTTGTAGCTTGTGTAGTTAAGATATGGAATAAGGAGATATTATCTCCTGAAAGTTTGATCTCAATTGGGCAGGTATCGATAAATTTAATAGAAGATAAAATGTTGTTTAGGTGTAAGGTCAACCCAATTTTTAAAACAGAAGTGTAATGTAATGTTAAGATCTGGCTGGCCGATGGATCTCCTTGGGTACAAGCTCAGTTATGACCTCCTCCAGGCGTTCACCAATGGTATAGTGTGTGTCCTCCCACTCCTGGAGCTCCGAGTGAGGCAGCTTTTCAGCCATATATCTGGTCAACCGAATATGCGAGTTTGCGTCCTGTGTGCCATGCCATATCCGGATCTTGTCGTACGTAACATCTTCAAAGCGAAACCCCCAGTCCTGGGAGAGGAGTTGTGCCTCATGCACAAATCCACGAGATCCCTGCGCAAACCCCTCAAAGGCAATACGCAAGAGAGTCTCTCTCCCTTCCTGCGTGGGCGTCTTGTCGTCTTCCTTTTTCGTGCTCTCGATCCAATTATCGAGCCAGCGTGTGACGTAGCTTGTACCAGACACCCATCGTAAAGTACTAACGAGCATGTTTGTCATCCCGGTAAATGCCCAGGGAACGTTATTAGCTGCCACGCCCATCATTCTGGACACAAGAGGTACGTCCTGGGTGCCAGCTATCCATGGACCAGCCCCTGCAAGAACACCAACGGCAGAAAGGGACTCGTGAGGCAAGGCATGGGCACAGGCTACGGCATAGGGTCCTCCGCCCGAACCACCCAGAATGGCGAAGCGGGATATCTTAAGGTGGCGAGTGAGGTCCTGGATATCGTTTGGCCAGTCTATGATGCGACGATGTGGTTGGAAAGTAGATATCCCAAAGCCAGGGCGGTCCGGTGAGATGATTCGAATTCCATGGCGTTTGGCGATTGAGTCTGCCAGAAAGGCTTCCAGCCGCGAAGAGGGCCATCCGTGGAAATAGAGCAGAGGATAGCCTGATGAGCAGCCGTATTCAGTATACCCTAGCGCCCGGCCATCACGAAGAGAGACTGTTTTATCCGGGAATGATGACAGACTGGGGGGTATAGATGTAGGCGTTGCGGTTGACAGTGAGAAGGGCAGTCTTGGAAAAGGGGCTTTCATCTTCGAGTAAACAGAGGAATATATATATTTATTGAGGATGAGAATGGGAATGAGGATGAAGATGTTCTGGGGAAGCAGGAAGAATTTACCCGTCCATGACGGCTGTTTATATATCCCATCTTCCTGTCTTCTCTGGCCTGGTGACTGGCTGCGGTCGTCGGGACTGGCCTGATATCAGGTCCTGCGCTTAAAATTATGAGCCGCCGTATACATCCCAAAACGGACCGCGCCTCGCTCTGATTGGCCAGACAGACCCTCTCGCCAGCGCCGCTAAGCGAGCTCCCGCAGGGCTTGGCAGAACTTGCAGGATCGGGCGTCGATGGGAGTTTGCAGGAGATGACGCTGGACGAAGAAAAGCCGGATGGGATATTGATGTTGACTGGGAGGGATGAGCTACTCTGGGATACAGAGTAGACACTGTCTTATGATTAAGAAACTCTGGAGCAGCTGTGATGTTGGAGGTGGCTAGGGGGCCTCTTCACAGCCCAACGGCCAGCCCAACAGCCGACATCAACATCAACACCGCCCACAGAGTACCCCCTACAGACAAAACAAAGGGATGAGATGATCGAATTTCTCGTCTCTTCTTCGTTTTTCGTACAGAGTATCCGTACGCTGTACTACGTACTCTTTCATTCATCTTATGTATGCCGAGGAGAATTGGCGAGCTGACATCTACGATGACTTCAAGCTTTTCATTTCTTCTTCGTGTGCAACATCAGCCTCTGGGTTAACAACTATCGATACAAACCAGGACTTTGGCCTCCTCTGTCAAGTCACAGCAAGCCTCGATATTCCTTGATCGGTGTGCATCCTGCAGTCCAACACCAAGCCGGGCTGATTGAAAATACACAGGAAAAAGAGAGCCTCTGGTGCTAAATCTTCACATGAGCCGAGGGCAGAGACCACAAGTTCTGTCTAGCGTCGAATGAAGCAGAAGATGCACAGGGGTTCGATGGCTTCAACAGCCACTTAATACGAACTTCCCACATGCAGGAGATGAAAAGGTCGTACGGAGATGGTCGACTATTCGGGCATTAAGTTCGCCATCGCTGCTAGTAGACGGCACAAAATACAGATTTTCCCTTCCCCAGGTTTGCTGGTTTGCGGGGGACCGGCGGAGCAGAGGAAGCCGGGGATTGATGGAGTCTATAAAAGGGAGTTCCTTGGACTGCTGGCGATACCAGACCACATATACCCACCGCTGTCAATCTTCAAGTCACAGCCTATATCTCATCCTCCACAAGATATAACGAAGCCACAAAACACAAGATGAAGCTCTCATCCATCTTCTCGGCCGTTGTCGCCGCCCTTGCTACCACCGTTGTCGCCTCTCCCATTGCAAAGCGTGACGGAGCTGCTGTCGTCAACTCTGTCAATACCATCTCCCAGCAGATCACCGACCTCGACAATGTCGTCAAGTCCTACACCGGCGGCTTCATCACCCCTATCAAGATCCAGGTCAAGACTAGCAAGTTGACCTCGGGCCTCAAGGATGCCATCAAGACCGTCCAGGAGTCCGCAAAGTTCAACGACCAGGAGTCCCAGGCCGTAGCTACCGCATTCGTCCAGCTCAAGCCAAAGATCGATGCTGTGCTCGCCTCCCTCGTTAGCAAGCAACCAATCTTCAAGAAAGGCATCCTCGGCGTCCCACTCGACTGGCTGGTGAGAATCAACCTCCAGCAGCAAAAGGACCTTTCGGCCAAGCTGGGAGACGAGACTGTGCTCAAGCTGAACGAGCAGTTTGCCAAGTTAGCTCCCTTGATCAATAATGCCATTGCCGAGGCTTTTGCTAAGGCGATTGCTGCTTTCTCTTGAGTAATAGGAGTAGGGTGGATGATCGATGTACAGGATGAAATGAGACCGTCATGTCATGCCAATGCATAATGTATATACCAAACTCTTCCCTTGTATCGAGGGCCGTCATGATAAGAATGACAGATATATAATGGCATTTGTCTATATCAGCCAACTGAGGTCCTGTTGCAGTAGAGAAATAACCTTCTGCATGGAACAACGGATGGCCCAGCACTGGGGCTCCGAGAACCACGTAGTCCATCAAACAATCAGCTTGATCGTCTTGAGAGCCTGGTCTGTGCATCTATATGTGAGGCAGTTAATAGACGGGATTGATATGTAGGTCAATACAGCGACTAATACTGCCTGCTATTACTTTCGTTAACATCATCACCGCCGTACAGGACTTCACATACCCCGCCAATGGGTATGTCCATCACTGCATCAGTCCCCTCATTCCACACCTGATCCCACGGTATTCTCTTCTGCGAGCCCATGATCTGTGCCGTCGCCGCGTCAGGGTTCATCTTCGCTGAACCTCCCGGTCGACGCCGTCCTTTGCTATCTATCACAGCAATGTTCGCCGCGTCATCAATTAGATTCTCAATGCTGTTCATTGGTAGCGTTAGGTAACCCGTGTTATATGCTGCTAGGGCAACGTATATGTAGATAATCGTCATCACCAGGAAAGACGGTATTGCTAGAGACCACCATCGGTTGGGGTAGTAATGTATACCCAGATTATGTAGAAATGGAGATGGTAAAAAGGACCATAGCAAATACATTACTATATCATATCTCATTAGGAATTTTTCTCTCATTAGTTGGCAAGAAGCTCTCGACTTACAGAATGCAAGGGACGATGCCAGATACAGGACGAAGCCATAGTACTCATACGTAGGCACTTTTGGGCTCGCTCGAGGCACGGTCGTCGCATTGCGCGCAGACTTGGCCACCGCGGCTTCGGTATCATTGGGTGTTTCGACATCAGAGCTATCAGGTGTCGTAGGACGTGATGTCGTTGCCGAGAAGGACGGGCGAAGAAGAGAAGTCAACGACGGCGAAGGAGGGAGCGGAGTAGGCGGTCGGTTATAAAACGGCGGCGCAAATGCATGAGGTAGAGATACCGTAGATCGTATGTACGGCCGGTCAATGGCGAAGTTCTCTTCTTCCTGGGAGCTTTCTTCTCCCTCGCCTTCATCTTCTCCTTCGTCTTCGTCCTCCGACCCAGACGCCTGCGGTGAATATTGAGAGAGAAATTCTGCTTCTTCCGTGCCCCTGACTTCATCATCACCTTCTCCATTGATCACCGCATCATCCTTATCAATAGCATCTCCTCGCTCTTCATCGTCTCCTTCTGGCCGAGACTCTTCCTCCTCGATATAGTTGAGAGATTCGAGATCAGGGCTGAGTGGAGGGAACGGCTGGCTGGACTCGACCGACCGCACGCTCTTTGGGCTCAGGGGACACTCATCGGCGCTCCCATTCATCGCAACTGGCATCAGATGGTCTGAACTCCGTCGCTTTCAGCTTCTGCTTCGTCTGCTTCGGCGTCTTGATCTTTTTTGCTTCTCCAGATTCAAATGACGTTACATCATGGGAGGCTCAAGTCATGCGTTTACATTACAGTACAGAAATTAAAGAGACAAAAGTATAGATAACCAGGTACATACGGTAATATTACATCTCCAGCGGTTAGTCATATATTGAGCCTCTATCAATTTTCGCGACGTTTGATGAACTTCGACAAGGGCAACCTGCTTTTTGATATCACCTTTATTAAATATAGAACTGGCTTCTCAGATGCTGTAAAGGTATTAGCGAGATGGAACCATCACAGCCTACAACGCCGAGTAAAACTGCCGGTACTCCTGACCCAAAACCACTTACTCCAGAGCAAATCCAGCGTATAGTAGGCATGACCTTTGATCCGGTTATAACATGAAAGACAAGGAATCAAGCAGCTAAAGGCAATTTTCAGGAATTAAACCGCTTGAAAGCAAAAGCTCTTCGTGAACAACGAGAGGCCGAAGCACGAAACCGCGGCACGGGTGGTTCTATTGTAGCTGGGCGGAAGAGGCCCATATCTTCCGTACTCTCGCCATCCAAAACGCCAGCCAACCTTCGAGATGGACGAAATAACCCATCCACGACAGGTGAACGGCCGCTGGATACTATACGGCCTGTACGGGCGTTCGCCAAATATGTAGAGTATGACTTTAGCAAGATGACAGATACCAAGGGTGGATTCTTGACTGCCGAAGATGACCCTCACAACAAGGCTCTATACTCCAAGGATCATGATGGAAAGCCGGCTCATATGACCCAACGAGACTGGGAGCGGTATCAGCAACTACAGGCTGCTCGGAAAGATCCCCATGGGCCCTTTGCTCCAGGGGCTACAGTACAGGACTCTGGAAAGCAGAAGAAGTGTCGGGAATGCGGTACCGTGGACATCGACTGGAAATGGGACGAGGTTTTCAAGTGTTCTATTTGCAGTGTTTGCAAGGAGAAATTTCCCGAGAAGTACAGCTTACTCACAAAGACAGAAGCAAAGGAAGACTATCTCCTCACTGACCGTGAGTTCAAGGCCCAACCTACCTGCTTTTAATCTAGCTAACATTTACGCGCAGCTGAACTCAAAGATGAAGAACTGCTCCCTCACCTAGAGCGGCCGAACCCGCATAAGTCAACATGGAATAACATGATGCTCTTCCTCCGGTTCCAGGTAGAAGAGTACGCCTTCTCGGCGAAAAAATGGGGGTCCCCCGAAGGCCTTGATGCCGAGTTCGAACGGCGGGAAGCCGACAAAAAGAAACGAAAAGAAGCACAGTTCAGGACAAAGCTGAAAGAACTGAAGAAACGCACCCAGTTCGAGGCGCATCGCAGGAACCGGGAGGGCGGCGGCGGTTCGTTTGGCGATACCCTTGGTGGCCGCCAGAGGCACGTCCATCAATGGGGGAGGCCAGTAGACAACGCCGAGACGGGCATGAGCGTCAAGACCTGCGTCGACTGCGGCATGGAGGTAGAAGAGATAGTATTCTAATATGTACCTTGCCTTTTCTCCCCGCGATCTTGTTCCTCTCTGGCTTCAAGCGGTTGTCACTATGTTATTGTTTGTATATAATTGGCGGGATTATTCATAGCATCCCAGGAATGCCAGAGCGCGGCTTGGCAGGCTAAAAAGTGAGCTTCGAACAACAAGCAGCGATCCTTTTTTTTTATTTTTATTCAACACTTCGGCATCGAACAGCAAACCGGTGGCGACAACGCCGCACATTCACCTCGTCTGGACGTTGTTATACTTGCATCTCACCTCTGAGGACTTGTCGCAGGCGGTTGGTTTATTCTTAGCCAGCACTTGACCTCCTTTTTTTCCGCCAGCCGAAACGCCGTTGACGGCTTACCCTGCCAAGCGTGTCCTCGCAATAGTAATAGACCTGTCTTCCCTTGACTCTGGCTGGTCTGCCGATATATTTTAGTCCGTTCGTCCTGGTATTTTGATGGCCTGGCAGCCACAGTCTGCCATGGCCGGAAATGGTGGAATGGGTGGTGGGAGTATGGATGTGAGTAACGGTGGAGGCCAGCCTCAGGGCACGGAATATACGTTACAGGGTCAGTTTTGCATGTCTGCTGGAAGACAACGCCTCATTTCTTGGGGGTTGATAGCTCTATAGAGAGTTGAGCTTCGATTTATGCTAACAGTGATTCGGTTTATAGGTGTGATGCGCTTCCTACAGACCGAGTGGCATCGACATGAGCGTGACCGAAACGCCTGGGAAATCGAGCGCGCAGAAATGAAGTCGAGGATTGGGAGACTAGAAGGTGATGCCCGGACGAGTAAAAGGATGCATGAGTCCCTGGGGAAACATGTCCGAATCCTGGAGGTCGCGTTGAAGAAAGAGAGGGAGAAATCGAGCAAGCTGGCTGCAGGGGAGAAGATCGAACCCAGTGTCGACCCCAAAGAAGTTGCTAAGAAGAGTCTCAAGGCTCTGGAAAAGAGTATAAAACTTGATCCTTCCACGTTCGCTGTTTGATTGCTTTTCTAATGCGCGTTTACATATAGAACAACCGAAACCATCCTCCGGTCTTGATAATTACGCCGACGATGAGGAATCCAACAGCCCTGACGCCCAACACGAAAACGAACGGGACAAATCTAGGCTCTACCTTGGGAAATGCACGCAAGAAGTTGCTTACCATGTCATCCCCGGATCTCATCCACCCCCGGAAATAAACGAACAGGACCTGTTGAATCATGACTACCAACAACATCATATGCAACGGCAACCATTGGACAGTGGTTATATTCAGGAGCACCAACGGCAGCAGCAACAATCTGTGCCACAGCAAAAGCAACAATTAGTCCCAGCACAGCCTCAATTGAATCATGTGAGCATGGTTCGAGAACCAGAAGGCTCCCAAATGATGATGCCAACGTATAACGAAAACGGTGCCCAGGGTTCGGCTCAACGGGAGTTCCTTGATAGGAGGCCCCAGGAGCCGCAACGAGCAAACGAAACCACGCAGGAAGAGCGCAACTCCAACTATGAATTCCCTCCCAAGACCGAAGAACCCTCACAAACTGAGAGCAAGTCTCCAGAAGCATTTTCAGGAAAGGAAGATTTTGGGAAGCCACCAACAACTAATGATATCATCGTTGATGAAGCCGATGGTTGGAATTTCGATGAAGCGCCCTCGACCGAGCCCACCCCGGCTCCTGTTACTCGCCGCCCCGACACAGATGCTTTCCCCAGTGCAAATTTCATTCCTCCAAAGTCTCCCACCCGTGGACGTGGATCCAGGAGAAAAAGTTCTGGAGGGAGAAGACGAAGTGATGGCAACCCTGACGTCCGTGAGCTTTCTGGATCTGCTGGTCCAAAGGCAGATACAACTAACTTCAAAGTACGGTTTGCTTTACGCGGACACTTGGATGTAGTTCGATCCGTGATATTTACCGGCGGTGGAAGTCCCTCCGAGCCTGAAATCTGCACCTGTGGTGACGATGGAACTGTCAAGCGATGGATAATACCCGCAACATACGGCGTCTTCGGCTCCAATGTTGCGGCTCCAGGGTCAGATCTTGATGTTACGAGCTACTTTACTCACCGTGGGCACAACGGCTCTGTCGCTACACTTGCTGCCTGTCCGCCATCTCAAAACTTCTCCAGCGGTGGTCGTGCTACTGGCGATGGCTGGGTGTTCTCTGGTGGACAAGATGGGTGTGTTAAGGTCTGGGAGCGAGGCAGAGTCGACCCCAAGGCTACCTTAGATGGCCATAAAGATGCCGTCTGGACTGTTTGCGTTCTTCCAGGCACGTCAAAGTCAGTATTCGGTGATCAGTGCAACGCCAATGGTGGCCCTGACCGTGTGCTTCTTGCTTCTGGAGCTGCCGATGGCAGGATATTGATATGGGCTATAAGCGCGCCGCCCCAACTCTCTTCACCCCAGACTAGCTCTAGAAGAAGCGCTGGTGGGAGCAGGCGTGCTAACTCCATTTCCTCAGGCTCCAATTTCCCTACTTCTCCTCAACCCAGCACTGCCAGTTCGACTGCATTCAACTACACACTGGTCCATCAGATTGTGAGAAACGATATTGCCCCTACCTGTATCAGCCCATTGTCATTGGCGGGAGTCAACTTTGTTGTTTCCTACGCAGATGCTTCTATTCTAGTCTATGATACCCGGACGGGAGAGGAGATTGTGGGTATGGCAAGCCTTGAGACGTATGACGGCACTCGAGCCACTGGTGTCAATGCCGTTGTTGCTAGCACCATTGGTTTCGACGGTACAGCTAGCCTGGACCCTAACCGAGCCATTTCGGAAGAAGAGTCTGTTGTCCATGGCGCTACGGGCACAAGCGGTGGTGTCGAAGGTGTTGTCATCAGTGGTTACGAAGACCGTTATATCAGATTTTTCGACGCTAACAGCGGTAAGATAATAATTTCCCCTAATTTCCTCATTTACATAACATTTCTTCTAATTTGAATAGGTCAATGCACATACACAATGTTAGCGCATCCAGCAGCAATCTCCTCTCTTTCGCGGTCGCCAGATGGACGAGAGCTTGTCTCTGCTGGTCATGACGCAAGTTTACGATTTTGGTCCCTAGAAAAACGAAGTTGCACGCAAGAAATCACGAGCCATAGACTAATGCGAGGCGAGGGTGTCTGTTCGGTCGTCTGGAGTCAAGACGGAAGATGGGTTGCTAGCGGTGGCGGTGACGGCGTCGTCAAGGTATTTTCAAGATAAATATCAACATCACCGCCGCGACGTGAAGATTACTCCGAACGAAAAAGGCCCCCGCCCACCATGATATACATTTGTCTTTCATCTACCCTCTATCCCTATAATGAGACTTCTGAATTCCTTTGAGTGGGCATATTCGACTTGGGTTTCTCCTTTGCAAACCTGCGAAGGTAGTCTTCTTGTTCTGATGATACCCCTTCATTTGCTCACAATCCTTCTTTACACTATTATTATTATAAGATATGGGCGTTTGTATTCATCCATGCGCTGAATCTCTTCTTGAGCCATGTTTATCCCACGGCTTGGAGGATACGATTTGTCGCCTCCCTTTTCTCCTTTAAGATACGTACTTAATGCTTTTCCTTTCCATTTTTTTTTTTTTTCTTTTTGACTTTTTCTTCATTTCCCTCCCCATAACACATCACTTCTAACGCTTTTCCTTTCTCTTCTCTGCTGTGATGTATACTATCAAACCCCTAAGTTTCAACCCAATGTCTTCTTGATGCATCAATTTAGTTCGCTGACGAATATATACAATTTACGATTTCTTGGTATAGACATTCTATTGTATATAATTAGGAAAAGCAATGCTCCCATTATCCTATACCATCACTAAACTGCTGACAATAGGTCTACTTCAAGTAGTCCTTCAACCCAGCTTTGAAAATAGAGATCATAGCCGGGGCATGATCTGGGTTCGGTATCTTGTCTTGTATAAAATTCGTCATATCCTCCCAGAAATTGTCGGCATCATACAAGTTCGCGAACTCAGAACGCAAGGATTGATCACCCTGCGGTAACTCTCCTACTTCCTTTGGATCAAGGTCCTTCATTTCTGTATCCTCCTGTGTGCCCAATTCAACAGGAGGTTTGCGACCTTTGCTGTGCAGCAGCAGCCTTCAACTCTTCCTC